AAGTACAATTTACAAATATAATACATTAAAAAAAATTATGTATAGGGCAGAGCCTGTGGCTCAAAGGAGTAGGGCACCAGTCCACCTGGGCGACCTTGCCCAGGAGGGGAGTAGGGAGTTTACATTAGCCTTTTCATTTCCAAATGAAGTTACATTAACCTTTTCAGCAGCTGAAAACTGTATATTCCCTTCCCGTTGTCCCGCCATTCCCTAGCTTGTCCCCTAGCTTGTCATGCATTCTTTCCAAAAATTGGGACTTTTAAAAAATGCCGTGGGACGCAGGACAAATTGCTAAAAAGCGGGACGTCTGGTCGCCTTGGTGTATCGCCATACATCACCATGTATCACCATGCATTGTCTGGGAGGAGGTTTTCCATCTTCACATCCAGGTGCTGAGACCTGGTAGAGATAGAGGCCTATTGCAAAGTGTTTGCTCAGCACTGGCCACTCAGTAGGATGGGCCTAGGGATCCCTGTGGCCACTTCAGGAGCATGAGGATGCTTAGTGGGAGGAACCTGCAGCCAACAGCCAAGGCGGGCTCCAGCCCCCTCTGGCCTGACCTGCCTGGAGGAGCTCTCCACGCCACCAGGAGAGCTCTGCCTGCAGGGTTCTGTCTGCTCTTTCACTTTGGAAGGCCTGGGCACATTTCCACCCCAGAGCACAGGCTCTGGGGTTGGCCTGAGCTTTGTCTATGTCCCTGGTCTAACCCTTACTTGCTGTATAAACTTGGTCAAGTCAGTTCCTATCTCTGAGCCCCAGTTTCCTCATCTGTACAATAAGGGTTGGGGTCTGTGGTGGGATTCAAAGGGAACTGGTGAAGGACTTGGCACAGGGGGTGGCACATGCCCAGGGGAATGGCTGATACTCCTGTTGTGGGAGCTGCAGGGCCTGGCAAGGCGAGGGAGCCCTGCCCTCCCTTGTTAACCCCCTCAGAGCCACAGGACATCTGTTCAACTCCCAGGAGAAGTCCTCCAGGGAGTTCCCCTGGGCCCCAAAGGGGCAGACTTGGGAGCCTTGGGAAATGAGAGCTCCAGCTACGAGGCCTAGGTGGGACCCCAGCTGGGCCAGGAGAACTTCTCTGCGTCCCCCTTACGTAGCAGGCAGTCCTGTGCCCTCTCTGCTCTCCATACCAGTAGTGCACCCCAGCAAGACTCTGGAAAACCTCAGAGGCAGAGGGGTCTTAGCAGCTGGCAAAAGCTTAAACTGCAGAGTCACCTGCACCTGGGAGCAAATTCCAGCCCTGCCGTGAAACCTCAGGCAAGTGACTTTGCCTCTTTGAGCCTTGGTTTCTTCACCTGTTAAAAGGGCTTTTGGAACACTTCACTGAAGAATTACACAGCACTTCCTAATGTTGATTAATACTTGAGAAACAATGATTATCACCATCACCATCACTGCTTCCATCATTATCAGAAGTCCCAGGCCCAGCTTCCCACCAGGTTCCCTCCAAGCTCTCCACACCTCAGCCCTATGTCCCTCCTGTCCTTCCTCATTTCTCCTGTGCAGCACCCAACTTAGTGATCCCAAAGGATGGCAGGTGGCAGGTGACCAGGCCCATCCTGTTCCCTCATGGGCCTGTCCTTTGACAGAAAATGGTCTTGGGTCTTACTGTCTCAATCTATGTCCTTTAAAAAACTATCTTTATTGAGATCTTCCTGAATATAAAAACTATACATTTTTATCATGGTAAAATATACATAACATAAAAGTTACCATTTTAATAATTTTTAAGGGCACATCCAGCAGCGTAAACATTCACATTGTTTGTACAACCACTACCACCA